AATGTAGAGTTATGGAGCACAGTCCCAAGGATACATCTACAAAACAACTCTTGCACCCAGGACTAACGAAAACTTTCAGAAGCTGAGGAAGAAAGATTTGTATAGACAGAAAATCATGGAGTTTGCTTGAGATTGTGTCATCATGTAACATCGAGTATGTACCCATAAAGTCTCAAGAATATGATTGCCTAAACATGAGCTGAATGTAGACATTAACAATAAACATGCCAAAGTGAATTTAGGGTATCCCATGAGGCCTCAATCCTATACAAAGAACTATAGGAAATAAAGGGATCCTGAGAGGGAGAAATAGTCTTCCCGAGGGAAGAGGATACCAATTTGTTAGCCAACACCAAGTGATCAGCCCTGATACATGCATACAAGTAACATTATACAGACTGAGCATGTTATATTTATGTATTTTAGAATACACACATGCACATGCATATATACACACACAAACACACACACATATATCCATATAAAACAATCTATGGAAAAAGAGGCCTTGGATTTGAAAAAGAGCAGGAGTGATATATGGGAGGATTTAGAAGGAGGAAAAGGAAGGAGAATATGATAAAAATATAATTATGATCTAAAAAGTAAAACATTTTTTAAAAGTTCAAGGCTCTAAATATACAGATAGATGCCATGCATCTCTCAAATTAATAACTTGTGTCCTTCAAACCAAATAGTTCCTTTCACAGATTCTCTTAATTGGTGTGTTTCTCCAGTTTTTTTAGGATTCATTTCAAAAATTCAATAAACAGCTTACTTTAAACATTTCCCCCAATAGCCTGACATTGTGTTACTTGTATGGACTTTTATTTCAATGATTATAATACTTTTGGAAGAAGATCGATACATTAAATTGTGAGTTTCCTGAAATAAGAGTTTTGTGGATTTCCTTTCCTCTTCTATTCATTAGAAGACTGCCTTATTATATCAGTAAAAATTCAACTCAATTTTATCAAATGTATTCTCTTTTGTTTGCTCATCTACACTTATAGGAGAATTTTATCCAATGTGCTTTGAGCAAATTCAGTATCCTCCCCCAAACTCTTCGCAATCCACAATCCCTTCCTTACCTACCCAACTTTGTGTCCTCAGTTTCTTAAAACCCATCAAGTCTTATTCATGCTACTCAGATGATCTTGGATATGTGGACATCAACTGAGGTGTAGTTTATCAACCACGGGACACACCCTTAAAGAACACTGACTTTTTCTCTTCCAGCACCTATCAATTGCCAATAGCCCCTTAGCTAGTGTAAGAAATGTGTGCTCCCCAACCACATGCTGAGACTTTGGTCTGGTGTGATATTACGCAGGTCTTGTGGATGCTAGCATAGCCTCTGTGAGATAATATGTGTAGATACCCTGCAGTATCCAAAAGTTACTGCTACCTTATACCAACATGGATCTTACAGTCTTTCTCCCCATTCTTTGGCACTGTTCTCTGAGTCTTGCAGGAGGAGGAGTGGGATATAGCTGTCTTGTTTAGGGCTTTATAGATTATGACTTTAAAATCTTACATATTTCAGAGATATCTATATTAAAACATTTAATGCCTTTAATCAACAGAAGTTTCACTTAGCTACCCTACCTCTCAACTACTACATTCAGATTTAGAAGTGTTTTTTTCTCATTTATTTTATTAAGAATTTTTTTTTTCATTTTACACACCAATCAAGATCCTCTTCCCTCTTCCCTCCTCCCCTCCCAGCCTTCCCCCCAAACAACCCCTATTCCCCCTCGCAAGAAGGCAAGGCCTCCCATGGGGAGCCACATCCAGTTGAAGTGTTTTATAGGCAAATAATTCAACAATTTGATTCAGCTAACATAATGTGATTATTTGGAATTAATTTAGGAAGAGACATGGAAAATCTATTTATTTTAATTTTCCTTTGTCAAATGATTTAGATTACAACTTTGTAGAAGCCAAAGATCATGACAATAATGATGTCATAAACAAAAAGGCTGTTTTTAGTGCATTTTTGATGACAGTATCGAGTTATCTTTGTATTGCTGTGTCAGGGTCACAGGGTCCTGTGATGATTAATGAGAAATGTTACTTTTCATGGTATGAAAATTTTTCAAACCATTAATTCCAGAACTTAACACATCTAACAAAAGGAGAAGATATAGACACTGAAAAATTAATGTTGACCCACAGAATTTTAAAAGAAAATGAATGCTACTATTTACTTAGCAAATGCATAGTTAGAGCTTCCAAGGACAAGGAAGGGATGTAGACTTGAAATTAAGTAATAGAACTGTGTATGGATAAAATTGGACATATTTAAGAGCTATGTAGACATGAGGTCAAAGAGATCTTCAAGTTCCTCCCAGTACTATTCCTAAGTCAATATGCTGTTATTTTGCAGAACACATTTGGCAATAAAGAAACATGCATGTTTAGTTAATAAGTGGAGTCTGTTTCAGAAGCCTGTAGACTCCTCTCAGTTGGCTTCCCCAGAAGCTTGTAGACTCCCTTCAATTCACTCCCCAATTCCTCTTGCACACTCTTCTTCCCAATAATTACATGTCTCAGCTCTCTTGCAAGTCATCTTTCTATAACTCTTCTATTGAAAGTTGTTTTTCCTACATGGGTAACTCATATTTTTATATTAACATTTTTAGATTTTAGGATAGTGTAGTAATAAAAAAAGTTTCTCAAATTTCATCTTCTCTCATCAGTTTATAAACAACATAGACCCTGAAGTGCTGGAAACTCCACAAAAGTTCCCTTCAAATTCAGGAGCCTGGTTTTTACTAGATGATCATTCACAACTCAAACTCTTTATGGGCTATTTGTTAATTGGTCTACTTGATAAGTAGATGAATTAGAGTCTGGATGCAAACACATATCTTAAACGATCATCAGGGAAGTCTGTCCTGAAAACACCCTACCTGAGGGTGACTACCAACATTTCACCTTTGTGAACCACAATGGGCCATCTGAAAGCACAGACTCATCTATCACTTAGCCTAGGACCTTCCACCTCTGACTTCCAGCTTTTGCTAAGAGGGTGTGTATAACCAGCTATATTCCCGCCCCTCCCCCCAATTTGACTAGGGATAGCATCTATGGAAACACGAATTGAAAATGTTTGATGTTACAAGAAGAATCCCTGGGGTCCAGGTGAAACCAAAGCATACAAACTTAGGAAGACCAAGGCATGGAACATCTGTGGAAACTGTAGAACATTTTAAGCAAAATGGTTTGGTCATTTGTTCAACAACCACTTACTCTCTTCCTCTTCTTCTTTGTCTTCTTTTTGCTAATGAAATTCTCATTTTGTTCACATGGTAAGTGACCAGCCATAAATGGTGACTTATGTGGAGGACTAAGCTGAGGAACTTTCTAGACTCTGTTTATAGCTGCTGGTAAGAATTCCTTCTATGCACGTCTTATCTTCTCATCTCAGTGACAGCACATTGGTGGCTCAAACCTGTCCGTGTGAGAGTATTTCCGCTATAGCAATCAACAAGTGTTACAGATTCATGCTATCATCATGTGCTGGGCCCCAGTTCCTCATCAATTATGTCACCATTCTAAAGTAATCATAGAAGTTTCATTCCTTTTCTGCTGATTGGTTTAGGAGAGGGCAAGGGATGAAGTCCTGTTCTGTAATTAGTAGGATATATATGTGTATATGTACATATGTGTGTGTGTGTGTGTGTGTGTGACACAAGAATTTGAAAATACAATTATAACAATAAAATTGCTCTTTTAAGAGTTAGTTGCACCAGCCAGATTAGGAGCTATTAATCTTTTCTCAAATACATTTTCTATATTTTCAAATTTTTAATTCAATAAAAATAAAGTTATTTAAAGTGATTATAATATAGTCTTACAATTAATACAGCATTAAAATGCATCATATTTCTTGTATAATTGCTTAGGATGATGCAGTAGGATATGTGAAAGCCACAAATTCCCCAAAATAGTATAAATTCTGTCAGAAGACCTTAATAAGCTGATATTATATATTCATGAGGATGTGTGCTTTATTACAAAGGAATGGTACCATATTCTAAGAGTGTCCTCTCACGAAAACTAAATAAGAAAATATATCATTTACTTTAAATAGGCTACTTTTAAGGTAAGGAAAATCACAAAAAAAATAATGTAGCTATTTTCTCTGACAATAGAATAATCAAAATCTAAGTCACATTTCCAAGGAAGAGGCGTTGTGAGCCTGTGTCCACTCTAGTGGGATCCCATTCTAGCCTGCATGAGATATTCCTCTGGACTTCATATGAAATATGAAATCCACCATCTGCTGCTGACATAGATGTTTACATTGTTTCTTAGATTCCTTAGATTAGAAATATCAAATACCCATATTGGGAGCTGAATTATATTTCTCTCTTCTCTCTCTCTCTCTCTCTCTCTCTCTCTCTCTCTCTCTCTCTCTCTCTCTCGTGTGTTTATTTTCCTGAGTGAAGTGAAATCAAGTATAAGAAAATCAAGAGTTTTAAGTATAATTTTTAGGTAATTAAGAATTTTAAATACTGAAACATGTGAGTTTGTTAAAGACACGAAATGCCTAAGACTTCCCATTATGCTTTGATAATGTACAGGGGTAACTTTTAAAGACACAGAGACAGTTGAGAACTAAAAAGACACCAGGAATGAAATTCATAATATCAGACAGACCACCAATGACTCTTATGCCACTAGTGTATACTCATACCCCACCTTCAGATACTCAAGAATAAAGGATCCTTTGGATTGTACAAACTGATTATAGTCATAGTTCACATAAGTACCTGACCAGATGGCACAGTGGGTGAAGGCACCTTCCACCAAGCCTGAAGATTTGAGTTTGATTCTTAGAACTCATATGGTACAAGGAGAGAAGAAGAAAGTTATCTTCTGATCGCTACATATGTACCATGGCATGTGCAGGTACTACAGAATACACAGGTCATTGTAAAGAGAATATCAACAATAATATGTGTATGAATTAAAAGACCAAAAAAATAACTTACCAGATACAGCCAGGAAGTCATCAATGCTGGTGATGTCATCCACTGCTTCAGTGAGAACATGGATGTAATGCTCCCATGTGCGCTTATACATTTCCATGGTGTTTTTGACCACTTGACTCTTGGGTCTTGATGCCAAAGCAAGTGCAGCATTTATAATCTGTAAAGATATAAATACTGTTTACATAGTCACTTCCTTTTGAAAACAAGAATCAATGTGCCGACAACAGGTGGTCTGGTTTTTTTTTCTTTTTCTTTGTATGCTTAAACTTGAACATCCTTAACAACCAGGGAAATAGTACTATGCGTAATCTCCTTTGTTTTGGTAATATTAGTTTTGGCAATAATTTATTTTTAAAGCTATTTATTGCATGCCATTGACAAAGAATACAGAAATATAATGGGTGTCTGCATTTAAGAAACTTGGATATTATTTAATCTGAAAGATCACATATCATTATCCCATGATTTAATATGTTAATGCCATTAGAAAAAAACATAGAAGTGTTAGTGCTTTAAGAAATAGAGAGATTATCTTTAATATAAGTAATAAGGAAGCCCTTGGAGAAGTGTGACATTTATTTATTTATTTATTTATTTTTAAGATTTACTTTTATTTATGTGTATGTATGTGCATGCCACTGTGTGCTAGCACCCACAGTGACCAGACCGAATAAAATGTGCCCTGGAACTAGAGGCATAGGTTGTTGTAAGTGACTCCTTAACCACTCAGCCATCTCTCCAGCCCTGTAGTATGACATTTTTAACTGGGCATTTGGATTCACACAGCCCCTGCATGCAAAATCATTAAAATAAGAGGTTTGACTTATTTGAGAGTAAAGACTTTACTGTGCACATTCATTTACATATCCATTCCTTTCCTACCTCACATACATATCTTTACAAATCAAGTACTACTGTAGGTTTTAGAAGAGGACCTAGAAGACAACATAAGCAAATGTTATAACTTCTGTGAAGATGATACTCCATCCAGGGAAAGCAAGTCAAATAAATAAAACAGAGTCTATAAGGATGGAGCTGGAGAGATGGCTCAGAGGTTAAGAGCACTGGTTGCTCTTCCAAAGGTCCTGATTCACTTCTCAGCAACCACATGGTGGCCCACAACCATATATTCTGAGATCCGGTGCCCTCTTCTGGCCTGTAGGCATACCTGCAGGAAGAATACTGTATACACAATCAATAAATCTTTTAAAGAAAGTCTGTGAGGCACTTCAGAAAACTAAGAAGGGAAGACAAGCAAGGAGTAGGGTGATAGTCACGGAGGTGGGTTAAAATTTGAGGAGGACTGAAGCAGACATTTAAATTATATAATCAGTAGCGGGGATATGAAAGAGAGAGAAGTTAGAAGATTTTAAAAAAAAAGGATAAATGGAAATTCTGTGAGTACAGCAAGCCAGTTTACCCAGAGCCTAGGTAGGTATAGTGTGGAGCAGGAGTCCCTGGCTTGTACTGCAAGACTACTTCTATCCGCAACATATCAGAGAGATGTTTGAACAACCTGTTCAGCACTGTGCTATAGACAACGTAAGATCTCAACAGACTTGGGAGGTTAGAGGAGTGAGAAAGAGCCTGAGCTGTGAGGGTGGAGGTAATGAAAAGGGCTTCACAGGATTTTCAGCTAATTAAAGGAAGATAGTGGTATGTCAAAGACTCCTGTCAGAAATACCATGCCATTAGTAAGCCCATGGAAACCAGTATGTAAAGACATTGAAATAAATCCACACATATAATATATGATAATACATCATAATGAAACACACTTCATGGGACTATACTAGGAATAAGTGAGTACATGCAACAAATTGATGGCCGTCTCTATGTAATGGAAGGTGAGTTGTTTTCCCTTTCGATATTTTAGGGAGTTTTCCAGAGTTTCTATGGTGAATAAACGCTAGTTGTATTGTCAGAATAAATGACAGTATCCTTGAAAAAAAAGATGATTAATATAGTTTTTACATGAGAATTGGGAAGAACTGGGATGAGACCTTGAGTAGAAAGCATACCAGATATTAAATATAAGTCATGGTTTCAGAGGTCAGAGTCGAAGAACAGACTCAGCTGTCGCCTAGTCTATTACAGAGTTTGACATTAAAGTCATTCTGTTTCCATAAAAAATACAAAATGTGATTCAAAGATTTGCAACTAGAATTCATTTTTAAGCATTATTTTCTCTTAACTTGTTCATATATTGAAGCAAATTGTGGCCCATGTAGCCACAGTCTTAATAGTTTCCATACAAGATACATCATAATGGAAAAGTTGCCATTCCTATGTCTGTCTTCACATGAGCACAATCCAACCAGGAAATCACCTCCAATCCTGGCCAAGGCAGCCCCACAGAGAATGGTTCTGACTTTGGCCCAAATGGTTCTGTTTGGCATCAAAACATTCCTAAGCCACACTCCTCTAGCCTCAATGATGAGGCCTCAAAATTTGCCTATCTAAGGAATTCTCAGGTGGTTCTGATGCTACTAGTCAGAAGTTCACAAAATAAAATTCTCCTCTGACCCCATGTGTCTTGGTATTGAGGCAACATGGAAATAGAATTACACAAACCAGTCTCATCAGCAACAATTTGAGAATCTCCCTCCCTGGTTCCAGGAAACCCAGTCTTCAGGCTTACAGATAGCACAATGACATTCTTTTTTGTCATCCTCACCCATCTGCCTTCTAGAGGCAACACTATCATGTTTGTTTGTTTTTTTTTTTTCTTTCCTGCTGCTTTTAGAACACATGGATGATCTCTCCCTTCAAGAGCCAGCCCTTGGCAGTTCTCATACACCATTTAGATATCTTTACAGCCACAATGCTGGAACCTTAGTCAGATCACACTACAGGTGAGGAGACTGGGGGGAGGAAAGGCCTCAAACTAGTTATTCAGCCAAGAAATGGTAGTCAGGATGCAAATTCAACACCTCCCCTCCCCCTTCATGACAGAGCTTACCCAGCCAGACATCCCTACCAGCATCTTGTCAATCAGTCAAATCCTACTTCTACCTCTCACTCAGGCCATTTTTCCATTTCATTTCTTTTTATAGGAAGTAAACTTGAAGACATAACCTAGACTTTTCATTTCAGCTCAGAAAAAAAAATGAGTCACATCCTTTCGCAAGTGAGAACCATGTTGATATCAAGTATTATTTCAACCATTTTTTTTTTAATTCAACAGAAGTCTCTGGTGCTGTTGCATCACTTGGATGTTTTGCCCATGAGATCGCTGGAGGAGGTGACATTAGGCTTTGCACTCGTCAGCACTGATCACTCTTGATACTTGTTATGGAAAATAACTTCTGAAGCTCGCCTGTAGTGCTCGGAAGATGACAGGATGGAACGTTCAATAGCATGCAATGCTTCAAAATAAGAATGACTACCAAAGACCAAGGATAAGTGGGATAATGTAGGAGGTATCCCAAAGGTGCCTTTGCATGGAAAGGGCACTCTGCTTTATGAAGAAATGTATCCCAAAACAATGAAATATGAAAAATAGGTATCAATTAGTAGGAGAAGTGGCGATTTTTCTATTTTCAAAAACAGTAACAGCAAGATAGATCCTAAACCTGTCTCTTGGAGAATGTTCAGGAGATACACCAGGGGAATAGAGTTGGAAGTAGAAACAAAAACTGTAGCACATAAGGAAAGATGAGACCTTTAGAAAGTACAACATATAAACTGTGGGAGTAAGACCATGGGGAAGTAGAGAAGGGGACTTGGTTGAAGAAATCTCTTTTAGGGAAAGAGGTTAAAAAAAAAAAACAAAACAAGGGTTTAAAGGGACCTGTGATAAAGATCCTCTCAAAAGGTTCAGTGGTGCCGGGCGGTGGTGGCGCACGCCTTTAATCCCAGCACTCGGGAGGCAGAGGCCGGCGGATCTCTGTGAGTTCGAGGCCAGCCTGGGCTACCAAGTGAGTTCCAGGAAAGGCGCAAAGCTACACAGAGAAACCCTGTCTCGAAAAACCAAAAAAAAAAAAAAAAAAGGTTCAGTGGTAAATGAGAGGCAGGAATAATGAGGAATAATGGGACAAGGGAGCCATCAAATAGCTATGTTGGTAGAAGACTAACCCAATGTGATGCTTAGTTTTAATGGTCAACCTGACACACCCTAGAATCACCCAGGAAGAGAGGCTCAGTGAGGGATTGTCTACATTGTGTTGGTCTATGGACTTTCTGTAGGAGAGTACCATAATTAAGTTCATTGATGTAGGAGGACCACACCAATCCTTGGTCAGGGATTCTGGACTGTATCTAGCTGAGCATAAAGCCAATCTGTACACATCTATTTTTTTCTCTGCTCTTGGCTGTGGATACGATATGATAATTTGTTTCGAGCCAATGTGACTACTCTGCTATGATGAACTGTCATCTGGAACTGTGAGCAGAATGAACTCCTTTAGCTGATAAGTTGCTTTTTGTCAGAGCGTTTTTATCACGGCATCATAAATGACACTGGAACACTTAGCATAGACCAGGTTTTTATTTCCAGCATACATACACCAGGCGTGCTGACACATGAGGTAGAGGCAGAGGGATCAAAATCCCTACAGTACCCAGGCATGGTGACACACGAGGTGGAGGCAAAGAGATCAAAATCCCATGGTCCTCCTCTGCCACATAACGAGTCGGAGGACAGCTTGTCAACACAAACAAATACAAAACGCTTTTAGATTTGGGCACACCAACTATAATGACTGCACAAAAATAGCGCCCTTTCCATTCAGTAAGCTAACGCCTACACCCTGCTAAAATGGCTTTCCTTCAATAGATTATTACAGGTAGAAAGCTGGAGATTCACTTGCTTGAAAACATTATGTTGAGATTCTTTTCTTCTAGTTCTTTGCTCGTGAAAGGGGAGCGCATTAAATTTTAAGAAAATGTGCTGTAACTTTGGATATAACTCTGGTGAGGTGGCCCCTTGACTTCAGTTTTAGAGTTTTATTAACCTATTAACTTGCAATGTACCTTTGTGTGCCCCTGCAAAGGCTCTGGTCCCTGGTGTTTCCTTGTTCCTGCAATTGGACAACTGCGTGCACACATGACTGTGCTGAAGTTATGGCTTCCCAGCTAGGCATACATTTAAAGTCCTGGTGCAGAAGCTGCAGTGGGGATGTGGAGCCATGGATATATGACAGGTGATATTTTGCG